GAGAATAGAGAGAGAGAGAAAAGGGGGGTGAATAGACTGCAGGAGAGAACAGAGAAAAGAGAGAATAAGAGAAAGAGAACAGAAAGAGAGAGAGAGGAAATAGAGAGAGGAGAGAGAACAGAAAGAGAATATAGAGACAATAGAGAGAGAGAATATATATATATATATATATATACATATATTACTATATATATATATATATATACAGAGAGAGAGAGATAGAGAAAGAGAATATTAGAGACAGAGAGAGTTTGAAAACAGTGGTGAGTGATTGTGAACATCTGTGTGTGTGTGTTGGGGTGTGTGTGTGTGAGTGTGGGTGCACGAGTCCACTCACAGGGGTAGAGCTGTTTGGTAGGAGCGCTCAGCTGAGCATCTTTGGTTACTCTGTAGGCCACGTCCGGCCCTTTCGATGACCTCCTGTGTGCACAGAAGCCTGTAGTTTTCGTTACGCCCTCCGGCAAACTGGGAAAATCTAAAATCTTCAGGAGATCCGCTGGATCTGCTGCAGAGAGAAACAAAACGGAGACAGAGACACGTCAACCTTCAGCACTGAACAGATCCACCATCACACTCCTCATTACACTCAACACGGTCTGACAGGGGCTCAGACCCCATCTGTAAAAACATCAGATAAACTGTTGGTTCTTTACTGTTCAGACCTCAGAAAACAATCCAATTCCAACTGAACAGACAAATAAATCAGATTTGAGCTGAGTGTGTGAACACAGCCAGAGACTGACGCAGTCTGAGACAATAGCAGAACTCATTAATCTCTGTGGTTTTGCATGGTTTGACAATATTTTATCATTATCGTGATAAATCATGACACAATACGCTTTTCTGAGCATATCGTCGATGTCGTCATTACATGTTTCATTACAAAGTGAGCATAATTAGGCCTGTTTAATTGGATTTAGTGCAGTGCAGTTTATAAAACAGTGAACAAAAATCATTGTAGTAGATTATTATTATTATTATTATCATTATTATTATTTTATATGTAGCACTACAAGTTCTACTTTGTCTGTTCCAACCTATTAAATCTCAGAAAAACTACAGACCATGATGCATATCATGTTTTGAGAAAATATGTCAAAGTATTGTGGTATGATATCGTGTCATATCGATATTATCATAATATTCTGTCATATTGCCCACCCCTACTTTTCCTATTAGCTGGCAGGAGTTGAACTGTAAACTTGTGCACTGGTTATTTAAACTACATTTAAAAAAAAAAGATTCTTCAAGGGTTCTTTAGTAAAGGTAATGGTTCTATTTAGAACCTTGAGTTCTATATACAACCAGTTCATGCTTAAATGTTTCACTGCAGGAAGAAATGGTTTTTCAGAACGATGGAGAACGCACTGTATACAGTTCTACATAGGACCTTTTTGTATATGGTTCTATCTAGCACCAAATCAGGTTCTGCTATTGTCACAATGTCAAGCTTGTGACAGTTGAAGAAGCCTTTTTGGTTCTATATAGAACCATATACAGCGCATTCTCCATCAATCCGAAGAACCATTTCACCATGCAAAGAATCATTGGTAACACTTTCTATGAATGTCAACTTTGTAAGCATCTATAAACACATTCATAACTTGTGATAATGCATTCATAAGGCATTATAAACATGGCTATAAATATTTATAAAAATGCATTACATGTTATAGCCATGTTTATTATGCATTATGAATTGTTAACATAATGTATTAAAAGTACTGTTCATAACAAATTATAAGAGCTCATAAGTCGTATTTGTCCGCTCTAAGTAAAGTGAAGCGTACTGTACTAAAGCCTCCTCCAGTGTTCAGAGTGAGGCTTCAAGCTTAAGTATTTATGAAGGATTTACTGAAACACTAAAACATACACAGTAAAGCTCATTACAGGCTTCAAATGTCAGAGTTTAAACTAGAGCTGCCATCAGTGTTTTACCCAATGTGGGAAAGGTAATGTACACCACCGTTAGCTTGGCATTTATCTTTACTGTACGCTCTTCAAGCTGGGACTGACTTCTTTGGCACTGACAGTATAACATGTTATCAACTCTACTTATAATGCATTATATTAACAATTCATAATGTATAATAAACATGGCTATAAAGTGTAATTCATTTTTATAAATGTTTATAATCATGTTTATAATGCCGTATGAAGGCATTATAACATGTTATGAATGTGTTTATAGATGCTTACAAACATGACATTCATAGAAAGTGTTACCGAATCATTTAATTATATCGAAATGCTTAAGCTTATAGAACTTTTCTGAAGAACCCTTAAAGAACCATCTTTTCTAAGTGTGAGTTCCACCTTAAATGGCGCAGCATTAACAGCACAAGGGGCTACTGCTGTGCTATTTAAGGTGGAACGGAAAATAAGAATAAGAAGTGAGTTTAGTTGTTTCAGAAAGACTATAACTGTTATATGTATGTGATTAGCTGTGATTGGCTATTAATGATTTTTATAAAACGGATAGTTCCAGTCCTAAAATCTGATTGGCTGAGCCGCGTTCGAAGCCGTTGTGAAATCCTCAATATACTATGCCTATGACTGCCTTACAGCGACTGAACTCCTTGTGCTGTTAATGGATTAATCTTTGACTCTAATGCTGATCGCACGGAGCACCGAGTGTACTGATGAAGTAAGAACACGGTTCTGTTTAAACTGAGGGGCTGAAAACTTATGTTCTTAACTAGAACCAGGCTGGTCAGCTAGCCTACAGGTTAAAAAATAGCCAACAGCCTAAACAGCTCCATCATTGATATCACAGGCTTGAATTAAAGTCAGAAGTCAGAAGTCACGCCAAACCCAGGCTGAATCCCAAACGTGCTCCCTAAATAGTGTTCTAGATATGAAAGTTTAGAAAGTTTAGCCTCTACAGCCAGACAGTGCATCATTTATCGAGTGTGGATGTGTCTGAATCCCAAATGACTGTTTCTTAGCTTTATTATGTTCTGTTGGGCTGCAGGATCCAGTATTTAAATTCCTACGTAGTGCACTATGTAGGGAGCAGGGAGCTGTTTGAGATTCAGCCCCAGCGTGAGAAGAGCGACGCCGCTGGATTGGTGCTTAATAAGACTTGCGGTCTTAATTTGGTGACCAAAAAGTACTTATCAAGCAAAGGTTTCTGCATTGAACAGTGCTGTGATATCATATGTTCATTATTATATGACAAAAAGTTAAACAATTCATGAAATGACCGCAATATACAGCGATGGGTGACCGAACGTTCTTCTCATGCAGTGGTCCATGGTTGCTTGGCAACGATACCAAACTCTAAAGGAACTACGTTTACATTTATGTCTATTATTATTAATAATAACTTGTTTTCTGAAAAGTCATGTATTTTACCATATATTATGTTGGCCACTGCTTTATAAAAGCAATAAGCCACTTGAGGCTGTGCGATACTGTGATTTTATCACAGGGAAGGGAGTTTTACATTGTGCCTAACAACGTCCCTTCCCCGTGGTAAAATCACAGTAACACACAGCCTCTTGTGGCTTATTGCTTTATTAAAACACGGTCAAAACTAAGGATGTTGTTGGCTATTCGTATATCCATATATCAACATACAGACCTCAGCTCAGCAGGGGTTTGATATTGAGACGATTAATTGGATCAGATGTTTTGGCAGCAGGACAAACAATAAACCGTGCAGTCCAGGGGGGACTCCAGGACCAGGGTTGGGGACCACCGGTTTATACAGTAATCTACACCCTGAACATCTGAACATCTACACTCAGACATCTGAACAATCTGGAGTTAAACAGATGTTAAAATGCCCGTTCATTAGTGAAAACACTGTAAACATGCTGTCCTGAGGCTAACACCATTAAGAGTGGGCTCAATGGGAACATTCAGAGTTTGACCCCAGTTCAGAGACCCCGTTAAGTGAGCGGTGTGAGAGGAAACACAGTACAGTCAGCTGGGTTAGATTACCCGCTACAGTGTGAAATTAACCCCTCACTGTCTCTAACGACCTCCTGCAGGCGCTAATGAACTCCTACAGTGTTACAGTGTTCCACTCAGTCAGAGCAGCTCAGCCTCCCTTAGCTGGACAGGAGGAGTTAAATCAACAGCGGTCATTCTGAGACCGCTTGAGCCCAGCTAACTGCCTCGAATACTTACAGAGTCATCTCTATTACTCTCTCTCCCTCTCTCTCTCTCTTTTCCAACTTATTTTTGGCCATTTCTGTTGGTCCAGTCATCATGAAATGTGATGAATCATGAAAAATCATGAAAAAAAGGGGGGAAATTGAGACACAAGGTTTCGCATGACAGTGAGGATGTCCAGATATCATCATCATTAAAGAAGGACCAAGAAGGAACATTTAGAACCTTAAAGCGTGCAAGAACCCTTTTTTTCTCTCTCCTTTCTTTTCACTCTCTCACCTTCTCTCTTTCTTTTTCTTTGTCTTTTACACTCTCACCCCCCTTTCTTTCTCTCCTACTCTTTTTCTTTCTCGCTGTCTCTATCTCCTCCTCTCTTTCACCCTTCTTTGTCACCCGCGTTTACTCTCAACCTCTCTCTCCCTCTCTTTCTGTCTCTTTCTTTCTTTCTTCTCTCTTTTATGCTCTCACTCTCTTCTTGTCTCTCTCTCTCACCCTCTCTCCTCCTGTCTCTCTTTCTTTAATCTCTCCAGCTCTCTCACTCTCTTTTTCCTCCTCTCTCTCTTTCATCCCCCAGCTCTCTCACTCTTTCTTATTCCTCCTCTACCTTTCTCTCTCTCCCTCTCTCATCCCCAGCTCTCTCGCTCTTTCTCTTATTCCTCCTCGTTCTCTCTCTCTCTCTCTCTTTTGCTCTCTTTCTTTCTCTCTCTCTGTCTCCCTTTTTTATTCTCACCATGTATTTCTTCTCTCTCTTTCACCCTCTCTCTCTCTCTCTCTCTCTCTCTATATATATATATATATATATATCTTACCCACCCTCTCTTTGTCTCTCTCCCTCATACAAAGGTTTCGGGTATCTAGACCACACACAGTTAATGAACGCTTTGTTACGACCTTTTAAAGCAGCCTATCACACACACACACACACACACACACACACACACACACACACACCCACAAGTCATCTTAAGACTGCCATTATGTCTGTCTATATGACAGTGTACCTCATTCACTACCACTTAGAGAGAGAGAGAGAGAGAGAGAGAGACAGTGAGTAAAGCCTGAGGAACGTGACTTAAGTTTACAGGTTCTTCTCAAACGCAGCTCTGCGCAGTTCATCCTCCAGTCGCAGTAACACTGCAGCTACGCAGCAGCCAGGGGTCACACTGGGATTACCGAGATGTACGTCTACAGTATCGCTCAGTTTATGTGGTTATGATAATAAGAAGAAGCATCTGTTTTAAGACTGTAGCAACATGAACTGCTCCAATGCTTACTGGATTGATTACTTTGTATGCAAGAACAGAACCAGAATGAATACTTTGTTAATCTTGATAATCAATAATTTAAGAAAATATATTTGCTTTGTAGCAGAAACAACACTAA